CACTTAGGTAATTACACTTAGGTAATTACCACGTGAACAGGATACACACATACAAAGACAGTCTTGGAAGACTATTATACTCTTTCACACACTTTACTTTCCCTTATAAATAGCAGGTAGAGATTTAGCCTCTTTCATTGCCCTTGAATTTTTTCTTTTATCCACCAGAAATTTTACTTCGTATGCCTGAAGCTTGAGCATAGCATGGATAATCTCTCTTATGCATGTAGCCAATAGAATGCTTTTTTTTCCACTGTTATCCAGTGTATGTCTAGGCACATCCTGCCAATGTAATCAGGTTCTGTTTACATTGTAAATTTATTTGGATAATTTTTCTTTGTTCACAACCTCTATGAATGTCTATACTCAACTGTGGCTGTGGTATTGGCTGACTACTACTTTACAGCTACAGTACTTTGTTCTATCTAAAACCATGAAGGTTCTTATAGTTTCTAACCCACCCATCAGAATTAGCAGACAACTGGGAAATTTGCACTTGCTTTTGAAAATACTTTGACTTTTCCATAAAAAGCCATCCCTGTATTTTGCTTTTTTGTAAGAGCTGAACGGTGGCTCCCTGATGTTAGCTCGTTGAGATAGCTACACTCATAAACCTCTGTATTATGAGTCCTTTATTGTCTACCAGGAACCAGAGCTAGACCCTGGCTTCCCTAACAGTGGCACAGGGAGCTGGGGATTGTTTTGATCATCCTGAGCAAGGAAATATCCATAGACAAAATAATGCAGACAACTATAAGGTTCACAGAGAAAAGAACTGAAGTAACAAATGACTCCACAAACTACTTGCTCAGTAGTTAAATCAAACCCTCCTAGTTAAGGCTGGCCACAAACAGTTGGTGACCCTCATGACTAGGAGCTCCTGGCTTCAGATTCGTTAGACCCTCAGTCCTGCTGCTAATGTCCAAAAGTTTGGAGCTCCCAGAGTCACTGGCATTGGTGAGTCTCTGTATTTTCCAAGATGAATATGGGCAGTTCTTTGGACTCTGTCATGTATAGGGAGGGTTGTATTTGCTTTGTGTATTGTTCCAGAATTTTGGTATTTGCTTTGTGAGCATGTTTCAAGCTTTGCAGCATGGACTTGGGTTTTTTCTTTGCCTCTCTCTCTGTATGTGTTTAGGGCTCTCTTCCCTAGGTGCTCATTTTGCATTGCACGTGACTGACAAGTTCAGGAGGCACTCCTACTTTGTAGGGTTCCTCACTCCTCATCATAGGTCTTTGACTTGTCTGTGATGTCCTGTGGTTGGGGCATTTGGAGGTTTTTTGTGTGGTGCACTGGGGTTTGCTTGCTTGTCTATACGGTATGCTGCTGATGCCCTTCATAGCCATGTTTATCTTACAGGCTGTGTTTTGTGTCTGTTCTTCCAGCAAGCATCCCCCAGTGCCTGGGTGTCCTTGGTCCTTACCTAAACGCCTTGGCTAGTCCACAATTCTTTGATGTGGTTTGTTATGGTTTAACCTGCTGACTTCGCACTCACTACTTTTGAGTTTGAGGGGTTGAGAGTTTTAGATCCCTTTTCTCTTTCTGAACTTCAGTCTGCCCTGGCCCTCTGCAGTTCTACGGCAGCGGGCTCAGATGACATTCATTTTGAGATACTTCGCCACCTCCCTCCTTGCACGTCTCAGTATTTACTGAGTCTGTATAACCAGATCTGGGAGTTGTCGTCGGTCCCTGAGGACTGGCTTGATGCTGTTGTACTCCCTATGCGGAAACTGGGATCTCTTGGGACATTCCCTAAGGAGTTCCGCCCTATTGCCCTCACGAGTTGTGTCTGCAAACTCTTTGAACGTATAGTCAGTGTTTGTCTGATGTGGTTCTTGTTACACTATCACCACCTCTCCCCTTCTCAATTTGGTTTTCGCAAATGCTGCAGCACGACTGATGTCCTGGTGAACTTGGAGGTCTATATTCGTACTGCTTTTGCTGCGAAGACCTCCGTTGTTATTGTCTTTTTTGACCTGGAAAAGGCTTACGACACCACCTGATTATTCCATATTCTGTCCAAATTTCGTTCTTTTGGCCTTCGTGATAATCTCCCTCTCTTCCTCCAAAGCTTCATCTCTCGTCGCTCCTTTAGAGTGAGGCTTGGTGCCACTCTGCCTCTTTTGAGCAATTCGAAGGTGTGCCCCATGGTAGTGTTCTGAGCACTACTCTTTTTCTAGTTGCTCTCAATGGTCTGTTTTCCTCCCTTCTGGCCTCTTCTCCACTCTCTGTTGACGATCTTACTCTTTTCTATAGCGGTGATGATTCGTCTCTCCTTCAATGGCGTCTTCAACTTGTGATTGATGCCATGTCGTGTTGGGCCACCAATCATGGCTTCAAGTTCTCTGCAACCAAGAATTGTGCTATGACTTTTACTCGGAAGCATGTTATTCTACGTCCCTCTTTGTTGCTTTATGGTCATCCCCTTGTGTACGAAGATTCCGCGAAGCTTTTGGGGTTAATCTTTGACACTCATTTATCTTGGCCACCCCATATCTCTTACCTCCGAGTTGAGTGCTCTAAGGCCCTTAACCTACTTAAGGTTTTGTCCCATACTTCTTGGGGAGCAGATAGGCGCACGCTCCTCTCCTTGCATTCCTCTCTCGTATTGTCTAAACTCGATTATGGTTGCCTTGCTTACTCTTCTGCTTCTCCTTCTATTCTTCGCCGTCTTAATGCTTTGCACCATACTGGGTTGCGCCTCAGCTCTGGTGCCTTTCGTTCGACTCCAACCCTCAGCTTGTAGGCTGGCACTGGTTTCCTGTCTCCAGGACCGCCGAGATCGCTACTGTCTTCGCTACCTTGCGAGGTCCTTACAACACCCTCACTCTCGCCGGTGTTGTGCTTTGACTTCCCCTCCTCCTTCCCCACTATAATTCCTGTTTCCCTTCACCGCCTCCCTCTTTCTGTCCGGTTGTCTCGCCTGCAACATTTTATTTCGGTTAGTATTACTAATATTTCTCCTCGTGTTGTTCCATCCTTGCCCCTGTGGAGGGTCCCCCTTCCTAAATATTGCAAATCCCTGACCCACATCACTAAAGCTTTTACCCCTCCTACAATTCTGAAATGCCTTTTCCTTGAACGCTTCTCTTTACACTCCCGCTCCATTTCCATCTTCACTGATGGGTCTAAGTCTGCAGACGGTGTAGGCTACTCTGTTGTTTTTCCTGACCACACCTATATGTGTCGCTTGCCTCCATAGACTAGCATCTTCACTGCAGAACTTTATGCTATTTTCTATGCTCTTCGTCTCCTGCTTTCTCGCTGTCAACCCCTCCTTTGTGTTTGTCGTTGACTCTCGCAATGCCCTCATGGCCCTGAAGTCTTTTAATGCAATCCATCCGGTGGTAGTAGATTCAACATTGGTTGTTTCTTATCTCCAGTAGATTTAAGACAGTTGAGTTTTGCTAGGTTCCCAGCCATATTGGTGTCTCTTTAAATGAGTGTGCGAACGCTGACGCTAAGAAAGCTATCCACACTTGTCCCATCTCCCGTAAAGGTATTCCTTATTTCGACTTTTACCCAGTTATTAATTCCTTCATCCTTGCAGGTTGGCAGGGTTTTTGGTCTTCTGTTACTGGTAACAAACTGCATACTCTTAAAGAGTAGTGTGTCCCTGTGGCCTTCCTCGTACCACTGTAACCAGTGGTGGGAAACGGCTCTGGCAAAGTTACATATTGGCCATATGCGCTTAACTCAGACACTTAATGGAGCACTGCCCTGCTCCTTATTGTCCTAACTGCATTGCCCCTCTTACAGTTGTGCATATCCTTGTTGAATGTCCTGACTTCCAGGACGCATGTGTGTCTTGCTTTCCGACTGTCCCTCACGGTCACTTGTCCCTCAATAGAATTCTTTGTGAATCGGATACTTTTGATATCGTTCTCCTTATGCGTTTCTGTTCTCTTATTGGCATCCTCAGTGATATTTAGTGCCCTCTGTTTATTCCGCACATTTGATAGTGCAACATAGCCTTCCCGGCTTGGTGCCTTCTTTGATAATTACTTATTTATCAGGGGGAAGGAGGGAGAAATGACCAAGATGTTAAAAATGTGTTTACAAGTCTTACAGACCAAATGAAGATAAGATTACTCACAAACAAATAATGCCGCCACCACTAAATTTAGGTTAATTGACTTGGGAGGTGACCAGTCAACTAATACAGAGTGCTTAGGAAATTTAATCTTTTAATATTTGCTGGAAGAATGGAATTCATTCTGCATTACTTCATGAATTTCAAGGGGAATATATTTACTCATAAAAAATGCTTATAAGATCACAGGTGATGTCCAAAGCACTTAAAGATCTGACTTGGAATTAATTAAGGGAAATATATAAAATATCAGGAGAATAATTTACAGTATCTGTATTTAATACAAACTCATTAATCCCTAAGCTAGTGAGATTCTATCCTTAGAGGCATGAAAATGGACTACAAATTGTACAGGAAACTAAAAACAGACAATTACCTTGTATCCACTGCCTCTCAGCCAGTGTTCTAGCTTGCGTGCCTGATCACCCATCCCCCTCTCAAGCAGTTCCAAGATCACGCTAACACATTTTTGTTTCGTATGCTTTCAGGAAGTATAGGTTCCACCCACTCTCTTGTTCTAGAAAACTCTGCCCCTCTCTAGGCCTATATCCAATCAATTTGAACTAGGCATAGGCTCTGGCGCACTCAGCCTTTGAGGAAGTTCTAAATCCAAGAGGTGGGGTTATCGCAGGAAAGTTGGGTATCTGGCCTATATTTTAAGAGCCATGAGAAAGCATGTGACCGAATATTGTAATTTGAAACAGTAATAAACTGCCCTTACCGTCAAGAGGGAGGAAGGGAGCGGGGAGGAAGAGTGAGAGAGGCCTACTTGTTCAGCTGACTACTACATAGGTGCTGTGTACTTAAGTGTAGCAATTTACTTGTTTTACTAAAATGTACATTCAAATTAAGTTACTATAGCACATTAAGAGTGTATATAAAGCAGTACTCTCTTGTGTGTTGCAGGAATATGTGCGTGAACATCAGAAGGATGATTATTTGTGCCACCCAGCCAGAAACCCCAGGGCCAATCCTTTCCGAGAGAAGAGCATCTGCCACATCCTTTAGGCTTTACCATCAATTGTATTTTTGTAGTTCAATATTTGTTAATAAATAGAATGCCTTTAATATATCAAGAATAATATTATAGATTTTTTTTTTTATTTTTTTACAAGGAGACCTAATCTATTAACTTATGTCTTTATTGTTAATTTTCTTAACCACAAGGTGAACGTTATTATTTTGTCTTGGTTACTTGGTCTGCTCTCATTTTACTGATTACAGAGGAAAATAAGCATGAAGGTATGCAATATTTTATTAAATTTACACAGAGGTAATTTAACATTATTGCCAGTAATTTTAAGAAATCCAATAAAGTATTTTTTATTAAATGTATATTAACAAATACTTCACCTCAGTTCAAACAATTTTTTTTATGAATAATTTGCTTGGTTATCATTTTAGAAGTTTTGTTATGAGGGTGAATATTGATATCTGCTAAAGAAAGGGGTGTCACTTCACAAAAGTAAAGAAATTAAATTCATCATAGGAGATTATACTAAGGCATGTTTATATACAGTACATTTTTTGTGATGTGTATCATTAGCAACATACGTCTTGTGAAATATGTGTGTAAATAGATGTGGAATTGGAAGAGGATGGGTTTGGGGAAATGTACATGTGCATTTTTTGGTCTATACCGTCTTTGATTTGTCTTAATTCTTGTCTCATTTTTACACAATGCCAAGAAAGAATGAAGAAAGTACTCTTCAAATTCCAAGGTTAAAAGTTCACTAAATCAGTATAAATGAATAGAAATTGTGTAATGTGCACTTAGCCAAGTGTTATGAAACCAGTTAGAATTAGTTTGTGCCGTACATATGATGGTTGTATATACAGTACAGTCTTCATTACTTGCATGACAAAATAGTCACTTTAAAAACTAAGGCATTTCTCATTTACTTTATCATGCATATTTTCTATATCTGAAATTGACATATTTTTTTCCTCTAACTTGATGTCATTTGATAAATGTTTGTTGTTACCATTTTCTTGAAGTAATAATAGTAGATGACACAGAAATATGAACTGCATGAGCTCCTCTTATAGTATGGTGCCAATGACTTCTTATTAAAGTAACCGATATTATAATCAGTTGATTCTCATTTTTAATTATTTCATAAAATTTTGATGCATTAAATTTTGTATTTGGTTATGGTATCAGACTTGTATAACCTACATTTTTATCATAAATACAAATTAAATAGTCACTAAAATTATTAATTAGTGCACTGTATATGTTGCCTCTCAGCCTCTTCTAATATATACCTGTACAATATATGTAAATGGAAGCCAGTTAAGAACACACAGTATAGGTGAAGTGTGATCAATGTACTTGTCATATTAGTGCATTCCCATATATGTTCATATATCAGGTTATCATCTAATGTAAAATTAAGAGGAAAGAAATCTTGACTGGTTTTCTTTAGTAATGCTGTACCTCATTCACAATATTCAATTTTACAAATTTCTTAATTATCCTTGTATTTTTCTTAATTTTTTTAGAAATTCTAAGGACAGATTTTTTAAAATTAATTATTTTAAAAGTTATATTTTAAGTCAAGTTGAATTTTTAGTTTAAGCCTAATTGTGAGTAATTTGAGGAAATAACAGGTTTGTGGGCAAAGTATCTAAAGAGAGTGTGGTCTCATTATTTTATTTTATTTTATATTTAGCTGTAATAGTATATGTCATATTTGTTTTCTAATTGAGATTATTGTGGCATTTGTCTTCCGAGCTGTTGAGATCCTGCAGGTAAATAGCATCAGGATCTGGCCCATCAGATTAAATTGTAAGTACAGTTTGAACTACAGTACTGTATTGGCAGTTTATTTTCTTAGTCCTATAATCAAGACTCGCAGGGGTAAACCTAATCTCGTCTCACAATTTCATGATTGGAAGTGATTGTTGATTCTGGCAAAGCTCTGTGTACAGTGACAGGGTGTCAGCTGATACTTTTATAATGCCAGCATGGGTGAATTGTATTTTTAAAATACTGTAGGCATGTGGAATTTGTGACTTATCTTTGTGTTATGCAGCCATGGGTGTTAACAAACTAATTTCTTGATACAGTATTTGATAACTGTAAAAATACTAATATTGTTTAAATGATTATAACACTTCATTGGTAGCTCAAATATATAAGGTAGATGTTATTGGTCGACTTGAAATAATTTATAAAGATGGTTTCAGTATATGGTATTTTACTGAAAGCTTTAATACTGTACACTACATGTATTATTTGGTGACATTGTTTGGAATAATTCCATTATCACTTGGCCTTAAATTAATAAGGATAGCTTGATCCTCATTCTACTTAAATAAATGTACAGTATTTGAATTAAGTTCTTCTGTGGAATATTAATTGATAAATATTAATAATGATTATACAGTCTGTAGTACACTTGCATGGTATGTTATTTATTACAAAATAAAATCCATAAAAAAGTATAGTTTCTAGCTTGGGCAAAACACCAGACAAGTTTTAATAATGCTGATATTGAAATGTGTATAAAAGAGAAATTGTATTCTGTACTGTATGTGTGTTATTGTTTTGTCAAGATGCTTTCCATGAGATTATTATAGAACAAGTTTTAATATAATGAGGAAATGTTGTTTTAGTATTTAAAACTGGAGCTATAAGGTTGAAATGCGGAGCAAAATTAAGGTTGTAATGCAGTCCAGAATTAAGATTGTAATGCGGTGCAGACTATATTTATAAGGTTGTAATGCAGTGCAGAATTAAGATTGTAATGCGGTGCAGACTATATATTTATAAGGTTGTAATGCGGTGCAGACTATATATTTATAAGGTTGTTATGCAGTGCAGACTAAGGTTATAATGCAGTGCAGACTAAGGTTATAATGCAGTGCAGACTAAGGTTATAATGCAGTGCAGAATTAAGGTTGTAATGCAGTGCAGACTATGGTTGTAATGCAGTGCAGACTATGGTTGTAATGCAGTGCAGACTAAGGTTGTAATGTGGTACAGACTAGCATTGGGGTTCATATTGCTGTAGTTTTTACTGCAATAATACAATATAATTATGAAGAGATGAAATTAGTAGTTATGAAGTGGCTGAAGTACTGGCACACACTATTGTACTCTGGGTTTAAAATAAAGAATTATGTTGAATAATTATTATTTTAGCCTTTCATCAGAGTTATGTGGTTTGTAGAACAAGGTAAGTATAATTTTTTTTAATACAGTATCTTTAAATACAGTACAGTACTTGAAATTGTTCATATTTTCCTGAACACTCTTAGTACACACCTGTCCCCTCCACCTTTTCCCAGTGTTACTAGCTCTACGTTTTTTTTTAATCCAGAGTGATCTTCCCATTCATCAACACCAGCATTTTCATGAATAAATGGTATATACTCTATTCCCTTATCTCCCTCCTCATTTTTCTATTTCCTATTGAACTCGAGCAGCTTTGGTCTTCTCTCTGGAGCCAGTGCTGTTACCTAGCAGTAAATAGGTACCTGGGAGTTAGGCAGCTGCAATGGGCTACTTCTTGGGGGTGTTTAACTAAAAGAAAGCCTGGTTGAGGGCCGGGCCGCGGGGATATTAAGCCTCGAAAATCATTGCAAGAAAACGCAAGTGCTCTTTTTACACAATTTTAACGACAATCATGCGCTGTGGAGCAATATATAGGGAGCCGGTCGGCCGAGCGGACAGCCACGGTTCGATCCCGGACGCCGGCAAGAAACAATGGTCAGAGTTTTTTTCATCCTATGCCCCTGTTACCTAGCAGTAAAATAGGTACCTGGGTGTTAGTCAGCTGTCATGGGCTGTTTCCTGGGGGTGGAAGCCTGGTCGAGGACCGGGCAGCTGGGACACTAAAGCCCCGAAATCATCTCAAGATAACCTCAAGGATATTCTTGCTACAGTAATACCCGAGCTCTTTTAGAACCATTAGTCTTTCTTCAACTTCTCTCTCCTGAATTCGAGCAAGCTGATTTGCACTTAACTATACCAATTTTTCTCTTGCTCCTCTATCCTATACATACATGTAACATGTTGCTTCATTGACTACCTCCATTTGGGTGTTTCACACCCTAAACTTTTGTGCTATATCACCTCACCCAAAACGAGTATAAGTATGAAGTATGTTATGTGTAAACTAGTCTTTGAAAATGTAAGAAGCTTACGAAACGCGTTCAGGTGTCAGATCAAAAATAATAATGTAAAGAATGAATTTTGGAGAGTTAGTTTTTCAATTACCATCGACAGTGAAGAAAAACATAATATTGATAAGATTTGTGTTAGAATTATTAATCTTACCCTTTCGGTCATATTCAACAACATATGTTTGCAAGAACGACTGCTACCAAAATATACTAATATATATATATTATATTTTATATATAAATATACAGTACAGAATATATAAAAATACAGTGGAACCTCGGTTTTCGTATGCCCGTTTTCATATTTTTCTGTTCTCGAACTCAATTTCTTCGAAAAATTTGATTCGGTACTCCTTGCTTGCCTTGCCTCCAAACAAAGACCGAAAAGTGATTCCGTGCACCCGCCAAACCCCGTTTATGAATGAAAAACGGTTTACACACGACTCGCAACTGATTTTGTTCGAACACTTCCGTAACAAGTGCTTCATTAACAAATTTTGTTCGAACCACAACGCTGTAAATGCTTCACCCACATACTACATATACAAATAATCACCAACAGAACCTAAACACCTAACCTAACCTATGCCTATATATGCACAATATGCTAATACTGTATATTATAATATTAATTTATATTTGAGAAAATTCGCGTTTTGAATGAACAGCATGTAAAAATTTATGAATGCGTCTGTGGGGTCGACTGCTGGATGTAATGAACTTGAGTTAATTAAAAGACCAAATTAAAGCACCTCCTTCCGATCTCCACAGGACACACGCACATCACTCCCTCAGCAACTCATTTAGTTCAGTACGACCATGCCCCCCCCTGCCCTCCCAGGAAATGAAGGATGGACATTCTGACCATCCTTCTGAAATTATTAACGTCAGAAGGATACAGTGATCTCGTAGCAAGAGCAAGGAAAATTGCTGAAGATGGCAGGAATGATGAATCGCAGGATAATCCTACTCACAATGAGCCACCGTGGCAAATGGTAGGAAACAGAAAAGCAAATAAACGAAGAACCGAAGAAATGCCTGAAGAAACCAATTTAGAAGCTAGCCAGAACCAAAGAGCAGCCCCCAAACCAATGCCAAGGATCATTTTCAAAACCAGTAGATGGTCCCACCTATGCTTACATTGCCGCACTGGAAAAAGATCATCCAGGATCAGATCTTAGAGTCAAACCTGACATTAGAGGCAGATATAACATATCCACAGCTAATCCAGATATAATTACAAACCTCAGGAATACAGAAGACCTAGTTGAACTGAAACCAGAGGAAAAAATCACATGATGGTACAACATTTCCCGGTTGAAGTTCATGCACACAGATTCTTAGAATGCCCAAATGTCACAACGGCGGAAAGGTGTAAGCACAATGTAAAAATAAGACAGCTCCTTGTAACAATAAAATGACTTCGCATCAACACACAATGTTGGAATCTATGGACAATTCAGTCTAATGCTGTACAATCCATAGCCCATGCGCTGCTACAGATGTCAGCGCTTCAGCCACCATAATGATTGCTGCAGAATCCCGGAACGATGTGGAATATGCAGCGAGCTCCACAACACAGACATATTGGAGGTAAGTCATCATATATTTTAGCTTGCGCAGTGAGGCCAAGCAAATTTTCAGTGTGGTATCAATTAAGTGAAGTGTGTAATGCCGTGCCACTCTGTTTAAAATTATTTAAGTAAATTAAAGTGGAGTAAATTTTATTCAGGAAAGTAAATACATAGTTGATTTACAAACATAATGTTGTATTTATAGATAGAGCTAGTACATATAATACCTAAAGCCACTAGTACGTATAGCGTTTCGGGCAAGGTGAGGTGTGGAGAAAAAAAAACATTTAGACTAAAACTTAATAGTAATTGAGCCAAATATTTGCTAATTGTAGGTAGTAACTAAGAGTGATTGCAACCTATCCACCGCTGCCCACTGGATGGGGGGCGGTGTGCAGGACAAACATATCAATTGTGACACTAGCTCTCCACATATGTCAGTTGCTTAATTTAGAAACTGTACTTGTGGTCGATCTCGAACCCATTGTTGATGTGACGACTAATACTGAATTTTGTAACTAGTTCATCAAGATTGTTACTTGCTTAGCTAAATGAATTGTGGGGTTCAGTCCCTGAGCCCATTATGTGCCTCTGTAACCCTTTCCACTACCGCCCATAAGATGGGTATGGGGTGTATAATAAATGAACTAAACTAATTGAGCTTAAAGTATAAATTGCATTGAAAAAAATAATAAAAGATAAAAAAAAGGGGGGGAACATGGTAGAAAATAGCCAATGTACAAGTTGGTCAACAAACAACATTGTTTAAAAATAGTAAGACATGGGTTGACATTTAGGGGTAAGGTAGGTTACATGGAGTTAATTAGGTAGTACTTGGTTTTCATCTAGGTACAGCCTTTGACATGATTTGGAAGGTCATTCCACATTCTGGGTCCTTTGATTTGTAGAGCATTTCTAGTTTGATTAAGTCGTACTCTTGGAATATCAAATAGGTATTTGTTCCTGGTGTGGTGCCCATGGGTTCTCTTACAACTTTCTAAGAAGCTTTTTAGGTCAGGATTGACATTACAATTCAGAGTTTTAAATATTTAGAGTACACATGAGAGGATGTGCAGTAACTTAATATCTAACATATTCAGAGATTTGAGTAAGGGTACTGAGTGCTGTCTGGGGCCAGAGTTAGATATTGTTCTAATAGAAGCTTTGTGTTGGGTAATTAGAGGACATAAAGGATTTTGGGTAGTAGAACCCCAAGCACAAATACCATAGTTGAGATAAGGATAGATGAGAGAGTAATAGAGCGTCACCAGGCAGGGCGAGGTACATAATATCTGATCTTAGAAAGAATGCCAACAGTTTTGGAAACTTCTTTTGCTATATTTAGAATGTGTCCCTGGAAATTCAGCTTGTTATCGATGAGGGTACCAAGAAATTTACCATCAACTTTGTTACTAATTTGGGTATTGTTTATTCTGAGATTAATTTCATTTGAGGATTTATTACCAAACAAAATATAGAAAATTTTGTCAATATTAAGGGTGAGTTTGTTAGCAGTTAGCCAAAGATGGACTTTATTAGTTCAGTATTCATTGTGACATTTAGAGCAAGAGGGTCAGGACTGGAGAAAATGAAGGTTGTGTCATCAGCAAATAAGATTGGTTTGAGGCGTTGTGAGGCATTTGGAAGGTCATTAATGTAGATGAGAAAGAGGAGAGGGCCAAGTATGCTGCCCTGTGGAACATCAATGTTTATGGGTAGGGTGGGAGAAATGGAAATATTCACAGAAACATGCTGGAGCCTGTCAGTAAGGTAAGACTGAAGGTATTGCAGGGAGTGACCTCTGACTCCATAATGATGTAATTTAAGAAGGTTTTGGTGGTTGACAGTGTCAAATGCCTTTCGTACGTCCAAAAATAACCCAACAGGGAACTCATTTTTATCAAGAGCTGCATGTATCAAGTTAATCATACTAATTAGTGCATCGTTAGTGCTTTTATTGGGTCTGAAACCATATTGGTAAGAGCTAAGTATATTGTGTTTGGCTAGATAAGAGTAAAGCTGCTTGTAGATTAGCTTTTCAAATATTTTTGACAAGGTTGGCAGAATTGATATAGGTCTGTAATTGTTGACATCAGTGAGATCGCCACATTTATGGACTGGGGTTACTCTCGCTTTTTTTTTAGAATATCCGGAAAGGTTTGGAGTTCAAGTGATTTGTTGAAGAGCAATTCAATGGCAGGAGCTAGAAATCTGGAAGCTTTTTTGTAAATTGAAGATGGTATCTCATCAAGGGCACTTGACTTAGTTTTAAGGGAAAGGATTATCTCATTAACATCAGAGGAGTTAGCAGGAGTTAGGCACAGAGACTGGATAGTTACCTGTAAGGTAGTCTTTAATACTAAAAATAAAATAAAAATAAAATAAAATGTTTATTCAGGTAAGGTACATACATACATACAAGAGATTT